AAAAAAAAAAAAAAAAAAGGAAAAAAGAAAAATCAGCTGAATGTAAATCTAAGTTTGTTTTCTCCTCAGATTAATAAAACAACTCCAAGCAGAATAATAAAGTGGGTAAGGGAGAATATAGAGGAAGAGGAGGATTATGCTACTGCTGGGAATGAAAAATTAAAATTGTGGCTCAGTGGTTAAGAGGACTGGCTGCTCTTGCAGAGGACCTGGGTTTGACTCCCATCTCTTAACTCCAGTGCCAGGTGCTCCACTGCCCTCTTGTGGCCTCCATGGGCACTGCATGCATGTTTGCACAGATACACATGCAGACAAAACACTCATACACATAAAAAATATTTTAAAAAAGTAAAATAGCCATTGTGGGAAAATAGTGTTTTCTTGTCATCCTTCATCTAGGTCACTTTCTGTTGACAAACTTGCTGCTGGACAAGCTGAAGGCCTCGGCCCCTTCGCGCATCATCAACTTGTCCTCCCTGGCTCATGTTGCTGGGCACATAGACTTTGATGACTTGAATTGGAAGACGAAAAAGTATGACACCAAGGCGGCCTACTGCCAGAGCAAGTTGGCTGTTGTCCTCTTCACCAAGGAGCTGAGCCGCCGGCTGCAAGGTGTGCACATGGCAATCTTTTCTCTTTCCTCCTCGTCTGGAATAGTTCTGTAACCCTGAGCGGTTGGTGGAAAGGCATGTAGTAGCTTTAGACAAAAGGATGGATGGCACATGTACCACCATGCTGTGGCCCCTTCCAGTGCTGGAGGCAGACATCACTAATAAATTGTGGTTGTAATGATTGCTGTTTGGTCTCAACCAGCCTGCCTTCATCAGACATGCTTATCTTGGATAGCCTTCTAAGCCTCTGGTGTTCTAAGCCAGTGGTTGTCCACTGCGAGTGGTTTTGGCCCTAGGGAACACATCAATGTTTGCAGACATGCCTGTCACAACTGGGTTCGTAAGAGGTTGCTCCTGGCATCTAGTGGGTTGAATTCAGGGATCCTCCTGGATGGTTCCCCAGTTCCTTCCACTCCAATGGAAGGAATGTAGTGTTAGGGATAAAAAAGCTTCCCCTGGCTTCTTGCTTCTCAAAAGTTGTCTGTGGCCAGCAGTGCCAGCCACCCTTGGGAGAAAGTCATAACTGCAGCATCTTAGATCCCATTCTAGTCCCCTGCTTCAGACCCTGGTGGGGGTGGTGGAGCCCAGGAATGTGGGTCTCTCATGCCTCCAGGGCTGCTGTGCTGGGGAGACTACTTGAGATGGAGGCTTCAGAGCACAGAGGATAATGTGGGTTCAAGTGTGGGAAACAGCCTAGGATAGCGAAGACCCAGAGTGTAGTGGCGGCTACAGCAGCCTTCTCGGCAAGGGGCCAACCTGGTCTTTATGTGTGCCTGTTTGTATGCGTGCACGAGCACGTGTGCATGCATGCGGTCTGTATGTGTGTGTGTAAGTCAGTGGACAATGTTGGCTGCCATCCATGTTGCTTTTTATTTGAAACAGTGTTTCTCCTTGGCCTGGAGCTCACCACCTAGGCTAGGCTAGCTTCAGTGAGCCCTGGGGATCTACCTGTTTCTGCCTCCCAGTACTCACTAGATATTAGAAGCCTGGATTACCATCACAGGCATGTGTTTTGACCTGGGTTCTGGGCATCACACTCAGGACCTCCTGTGGGGCAAGCTCTTTAACAGCTGAGCTATCTTCCTACCACCTGACAGTCTCTATTGTTCCCAGGCACAGGTGTGACGGTCAATGCTCTGCACCCCGGTGTGGCCAGGACAGAGCTGGGCAGACATACAGACATGCACAACTCTGCCTTCTCCAGCTTCACACTTGGTGAGTCCCCTTCCAGCCTGGGATCCCCTCACAGAGCCCTGTTAGCTGGGGATCCAGGACTTTCCCTCAGAGATGGTTACTTTATTTCTTTTTGATTCTCTCTCTGACTGGGTCTCACTATGTATCTCTGACTGACTTGGAACTTGCTATGTAGACTAAGCTGGCCTCAAACTCACAGAGATCTGCTTGCCTCTGCCTTCGGCGTGCTGGGATTAAATAAATGTGCCATCACACCTGACTTTTTTCCCCCTCAACATGGCCTTAATGAGTAGGCTGGACTTGCTCATTATATGGGTGAGACTGGTCTTAAACTTCTGACCCTTTCACCTTCTGAGTGCTGTGTGTGCCTCTTTCTGCTCCTTCCCATGTCTTCCTGAGGTAGAAGATGAGTCATAATTCTATGTGATTCTGACCTCAGATCAACAGAAAGCAGGCTACAGCCCCACTGATGAATAAGAAAATTGTCCTGCAGGATAAGCCTTGAGCTGATTTCTAGGGTCAGGCTGTACACAGGGTAGCCTCAGCTTCACTCAAAATTAAGTTACCCAGGAAACACACATCCCAGTTTTTATAACATCTTAATATGTAGACTAGTTTAACCATGAGCTTCCATTCCTCCTGCCTCTGCTTCCTGAGTACTGGGATCACAGATACTCTAAGATCACCATGCTTGTTGCTTTGAGTCTGTTTCCTTATCTGCATAGCGAGGTCCATGATAGGACTGTCCTCATAGTCAGTGGGAAGAAGAGGGGAGATTGCCCATAGATTGACTGCACAGTGCCTGACCAAGAATGTAGTTTGACCCATAGCCAAACATTAGGTGGAGAGAGCAGAAATTGGAGGTCTCCATCACATCTCTTTTGCCTGCTCTTGGGACCCTTTTCCTCCTACTAAGTTGCCTTCTCCAGCCTTGATGTGAGGGTTTGTGTCTAGTCTTGTTGCGTCTTGTTATTTAGTGTCCAGTTGATAACTCTGGAATACCTGCACTTTTCTGTTAGGAAATGGAGGAGGAGTGGATCTGGGGGAGGGAATGAGGGGGTACTGGGAGGGGTGGAGGGAGTGGAGACTGTGGTTAGGATGTATTGTATGAGAGAAGAAATAAAAGGAGAAGAATGTAGTCTGAGTCAATAGAACATTGTAACTGGTATTTATAATCCTTTAGAGTCATATAGTGGGCATATATCAAGAATTTTAACCCAAGAGTACCTTGAAGTATATTTAGTAAATTGAGGGCTGGAGATGTAGCTCAGTGGACAGAGTGCTTGGCTAGCATGTCACAAAACCCTGGGTTTGATCTGCAGCACCACATAAAATCAAACATGTTGGTATATGCTGTCCAGTACTTGGGAGGTGGAGGCAGGAGGATAAGAAGTTTAAGATCATCTTTGGCTATATAGTGAGTTAAGGGCCAGCCTGGGCTACATGTGTCCCTGTCTGAGAAGAAAGATTATTTTCAAGGATAGAATAGGGAAAAATATGTTTTCATTTTTCTGGAAACCCTGGGGAGGTTTCTTGTAGGAGGCAGATTTGTGCTCATCCCTCTGTTTGGAGTTTTTTTTTTTTTTTTTTAATGTTGCCAGGGAAGGGACCTTTAGGTAGAGGGAACTGCAAGGACAAAGGCATGGAGGTGCGTCCGTGGGGCTTCAGGGAAGGTTCCATCCCTAGGGGTTTTGGGGGAGTAGAGCAGGGAATTTTCTTTTCTTCTCTCTTTCTTTCCTTCTTTTTTTGACTGAATGTTCTGTGGTTGATTGTAGGGCCCTTCTTCTGGCTGCTGTTCAAGAGTCCCCAGCTGGCGGCCCAGCCCAGCACGTACCTGGCAGTGGCAGAGGAACTGGAGAGTGTTTCTGGGAAGTACTTTGATGGACTCAGAGAGAAGGCTCCGTCTCCTGAGGCTGAAGATGAGGAAGTAGCCCGGAGACTTTGGGCTGAAAGTGCTAACTTGGTGGGCTTGGACATGGCTCATGGGTCCTCTGGAAGGGGGCATTCCCTTCCCAGATAACCTTCAAAGATCCAGATGGAACTGTATTACCAAGGCCTCTGGCTGCCATGCCCTCATCCTCTGGGGCACCTTTGGCATTGTTACTCTCAAGACCATGGTTGCTGGCTGCCATGCATTCATCTTCCTCTAGAGGCAGTGTTGGCACTGTCAGAATCTTAAGACTATAGCTGTTGGCTGCCATGCTCTCATCTTCCTTTAGATGGCAATGTTGGTCCTTTTTTGTTGGCTAACCACATTTAGTTGGACCACAGCTGAGCATTGACAGGGGTATGTGTGGTGGTGGCAGGTGGTGTCTCTCTTGGGAATGGTTTTGGGCAATGTTTAAAGGTAGCTGTGGTGGTGACTGATTGATCTTCTGTTAAAGAGCGGGTAATCAGACAAAATGGCCAGTCAGTCATAGTTCTTTGTGGGCCTTTGCACACTTCTGCCTCCTTTCTGAGAGCTGGCTGTTGTTTCTAAAGCAACTGGGGAGGAAAAGGGCTTACTTTAGCTTACAGGTTATAGTGTATCATGGAGGAGGGAAGCCGCGGCAGGAGCTCAAGGCAAGAGCTTGACGCAGATACCAGGCTTACACTCAGATAACTGTCTTTTTATTTTCATCATCATCATCATCATCATCATTATTATTTTTTAATGGAGAGTCTTACTCTGTAACTCTGGCTTTCCTGAAACTTGCTCCAGAGAGATCTGCCTGCTGGGATTAAAGACGCGTTGCCATGCCTGAGTCAGGTACCAGCCCAGGCCTACCTGCCCAGGAATGGGACCACCCACAGTGGGCTTGTCCCTTCTGCACCAATTAGCAAGCAAGAAATGTCCACGGACATTCACCAAGGGCATTCTGGTCCAAGCAGTTCTCCAGTTGAGGACCCCTTCCTCTTCTGGGTGTGTCAAGCTGATAACCAAAGTAACCAGGACGGCTCTTGATTTTAAACAGCTGTGGGTAACTGCTACCTCATGGGCTGGTGTGGGCATTAAACTCTTGTCTGGCTCAGTAAAGGACAGCTACGGACCTCTTGTGTCCTGGCCCAGAGGGAATGGAGTGAAAAGCTGCTGGCAGCTGCCTCTGAGGACCAGCATGACCTGAGAGCATGACCTCTCCAATTCCTATGATAATTTTAACCTTAGATTCTCAAGCTTGCTGTATGATTATAATAACTTGCTGGGTGTAGTAACACCAGCACTTAAGAGGTGGAGGCAGGAGGATCAGGCATTCAAGGTCATCCTCTGCCAGCCTGGGCTATACAAGATCCTGTCAAAACAAGTCAAAACAGTGAAATCTCCAAATGTAGCTGAGTCATAGATTTAAAATAAAAACAAACATTTGCTTAGTGTGTATGTGTGTACGCATGTGCGCAGGTATGCTCTTGAGTGCCAAGTTCATTCAGAGGACTACTTGAGGGAATCGTTCTTGTCTTGTGAGTCTTGGGATCCAACTCAGTTTGTCCAGCTTTGTGACAGAGACTTTCACCTCTGAACATATTGCCACATGACCCTGAACCTGAGTCATAGGTTTTATTTTATCCATTGTATATGGAATTTATTCCACACACAACTTGTATATTTATTCCTTTTAAGAAACCGACTTTTAAGTTACCAAGGCAATGAAGCAAGCCGCTGCAGACTCTGTGGTGGAAGGCGCAGCTCACCATATGGCAGTGATCGCTGAGGTCAGGCTGTCTTAGGGAACTTCTGCTTCAGAAATGGGACACTCAGCTGGGATGTAGAATTTCCGGAGCATCAAAAAGGTCAGTAGAGAGCTGGGAAGCACACACCTTTGATCCCAGCACTTGGGAGACAGAGGCAGGCAGATCTCTTGAGTTTGAGGTCAGCCTAGTCTACAGAGCTAGTTGCAGAACAGCCAAGGCTACACAAGGAAACCCTGTCTTGAAAAACCAACCCCCTTCTACCCCCAAAGCTCAGTAGACCCCTGGGTACTTAGAGCATGATTGGCCTAGAATTGTCACTTGCCTGGTGACTGCAGAGCCCAGCCAACCACGTAGCACCTGCTCTGCTGGCACAGTGACGCCAAGAAGCTACAGAATATTTTGAAGCCACTAGAGGTCAGAATTGAAAGCTCTTTGGCATCCACTCAAAGCTGCCCAAGTTCAGTCTTTATAGCAGTGTTCCTAGTAGGGTATATTTTGCAACCAAATCATATGTAGAAAGATGCCCTTGGCTGTACAATATATTTATATATCTATTTATTTTCATGAATATCTGTTTATCCTGTACATGCAGTGCCTGAGAAGTTGCAACCAAATTATATATAGAAAGATACCCTTGGATGTACAATATTGATAGTTTCTCTCTCTCTCTCTCTCTCTCTCTCTCTCTCTCTCTCTCTCTCTCTCTCTCTCTCTCTCTCTCTCTTTCTTTCTTTTCTGTTTGTCATGTGCATGCAGTGCCTGAGAAGAGGACTCCAAATCTGGAACTGGAGTTTACAGTTGTAAGTCTCCATGTGGGTGCTGGGAATTGAACCCAGGTCCTCTGGAAGACCAAGCCAGTGCTCTTAACCACTGAGCCATTACAACTGTTAGATTCTCCTGCCTCCGTCTTCCCTGTTTAATGATCCCCTTGGTCATATAAGCCCATCAGGATAATCCAAGAAAATGCTTTACTGTTTTAAAATCAGTAGAGCAGACTTAATGCTATCTTATCTGGTCCTGTTTGCCAGGTAAAGTAACACAGTCCTTTGTTCCTGTGTCCCGGGTTCTGGTGATGGGATCTAGCTACCCTGGGAAAGGCCGTTGCTCTGCTGACTGTATACTCCCTTTCATAAAGCCTGGCTCTTAAGGTTTTTCAACGACTCCCACTTATTTCTCATCCATTCTGGTCTGCTTAAATTAGGCTGGCTCAACTCCACTTTTTTTTTCTTTTGAGACAGTTTCACTGTGTAGTTCAGACTAAACTTGAACTCTAGATCTTCTCATCTCAGCCTCTCGAGCCCAGAGATTACAGGCCCACCATATGGTGCCAACTTGCAATGTTTACAACCAAATAAACAGAAAAATACATTCCTGTTATTAATTCGTCATTGTCTTTCTGGTTTTTTTTTTTTTTTTGTTGTTTCGTTTTTGTTTTTAAAGACACAAAAGAAAAAAGGGTTTCTCTGTGTAACAGTCCAGGCTATCCTAAAATTTCCTTTGTACACCAGGCTGACCTCGAACTCACTGTCTTTGCCTCCCCAGGTGCTAGATTAAAGGCATGCACCACCATGCCCTGGCTTGTCCTTCTCTTTTATTTGGTGTGTGTTCTCTTGCTGGGAAAAACTTCCTGACAAAAGCCACTGAAGGGAAGAAGGCTTCAGTCTGGGTGGCAGCTCCAGGATATAGTCCATTATGGCGTGGAAGTCGTGACGGCAGGGGTTTGGGGCAGCCTGTCCACCTGCGTTTTCAGACAGGAGGCAGAGGAAGGAATGCTGCTGCTTAGCTCCCCTGTGGCTTCGATTTTTTGTACATTGTTTATGTGTGTGTTGTGTATGCCTCACGGTGTGCTTGTGCAAGCCAGATGGTAACTTGTGGGGGGTTTGGTGACAAGTGCACTTCTTCCTCAATAAGCCCCCTTGCCGGCTCCCGTCATCATTATTATCAGTGGGTGGTGGTGGTGAGGGTGAATGCCACACCATGTGTGTGGCGGCCAGAGAACACCTTTCACGGAGTCAATTCCTTCCTGCCACCGTTACATGGGTTCTGGGGGTTGAGGTCAGGTTGCCAGGCGTTTGTAGCAAGTGCCTTTCCCTGCAGAGCTGTCTTACCAACGTCTGTGTCCTTTTATTCTGTCTGCGGCCCAAGCCCTTGGTGTAGTGCTGTTCACGCTCGCTGCGGCTCACACTCGCTGCTGCTCACGCTCGCTGCGGCTCTTCACGTCGCAATTACTTCAGCCTAGAAACTTCCTTACAAACCTGTTCAGCGCTTGGTCCTAGGTAACACTACATACTATCAGGTTGACAGTATTTACCACCACAGGGTGTCTTTCTTGGGAGATGGTATTTATCTGAAGGAGATAAAAGTCTAAACTTATCTGGAGCCCAGGCTGCCAAGGTGGCTGATCAATGGGGATGCTTTTCATGCTGGGGGATTTGTCTTTCTTGCACATGGACGAGACTGCTTCTGACCACAAACCCTCATGACCAACGTCCACTTCCTCTTCAAAATCAAGAGATCTCAAGCGCCACAAATGCTACAGTGTCCTAATCCTGAGGCCTGAGATGGCTCGAAAACAGCAGCACCCTAAGCTACATGAAAGACGACAAAATCTATTTGAAAAGACAGCCCAGAGAAGAATTTGTGGGTAAGTAATTAAGCCAACTAAAAAAGCTGGGCATGGCAGTACATGCTTATAATCCTAGCCTTGGAAAGGCTGAGACGGGGATCTTGAATTTGAGTCTACTTTGAGCTACAATAGTGCGATTCTATTCAAAAACTGAAAGTCAAGCCACTTTGAGTAAAGATAAAAACCCAAACCAAGCAAACAAACAAAAACGAAAAAACCCCAAACCAAAGCAAACCAAAAACCAGACCAGAGAAACAGCCACAGAACATTGCTTTGTATGGTGACTTAACACGGAAAGGAATTGAACTTGCATCAGCTTGTATATACTGTTCTTAAGAGCTGGGGAATTCTGTCCTGTTGCCTTTGGTGACCTACTGTAACAGGATGTTCAAAGGGTACAGGCTGATAGCTACCTATTTTTTTGAGACAGGGTCTTGCTGCCCAGGCTACTGCCAAACTAAGTAGCAGAGGATGACCTTCAGCTATGGATCCTCCTGCCTCCTCCTCCCAAGTAGTGGGATTCCAGGTCTTCAGACACTGTAGGGCGGACACACCATGGATCTCTACTCATACAGCCTCATCAACTGTAAAAACATCAGCATACAATGGAAGTTAGGGGTAAATAGCTGTTTTTCCAGATGCACCCAGTGTCTTCCTCCATTGCACACCCTCTCAGAGACCCGGGCACTACAGGATCCAGCAACGGAAGGGTTAACTCCCAGCATCACCAGGTAAGCTGATCTAGTCCTTGGGTCATCATCACCTTTGAGGTCAGGGCCCATCTCATGTGGACAGTAGAATGTTGAAGATTACCCTAGGCTTTAGAGGAAAGGAATATAAATGAAGACAGTTGAAGTTCAGCTGTAAGGCAGACACTGGTTCTGCGATGTATTCAAGACTCTCCCTGCCTGTTTGTCCATTGTCAAGGTCAACTTCATTCTCGGTAGATCTCTGTGGTCAGTTGGGTGGTGGCTCCTGAAGAGTATGGCTATAATTCTGGGGCCTGTGGACAATGCAATTTGTAGAAGTTAGCTCGATTCAGGAAATAACCTGGCTAGCTCAGCTGGTAGAGCATGAGACTCTTAATCTCAGGGTCATGGGTTCAAGCCCCACGTTGGGTGTCAACTGTAGAAGTTAGATTGATTAGGGAAATAACCAGGCTAGCTTAAAGATAAACAATTAATTTTTACTTATTATAAGGGGAAACTCATGCCACAAGAATGGAAAGTCCAAGTTCCACTGTGTCCTATGGGAATCACCCAGAGAGAGTGAGTACCTGGTCCATCCCAGATTTCCTCCTGGGCTCCAGGAAGCCATGCATTAACTAGGTTCCACTTCTTAAAGATAATTGGTTAACAAAGCTTCCCCCATCAGCAATCTAGTAGGAATGGATGTTGCTATCAGTCTCTGGGTTATCTGAGCACCAAAGACACATAAATGCCTGTAATTCTAGCACTTGGGAGGCTGAGGCAGGATTAGAGTGAGTTCAAGGCCACCTAGACTACACAACTAGACTCTTACAGAATCATGTTGTGCAGTGGAGGTGCATGTAATACTGGGGCTTGTGCAAATGCCCATGAGCAGAGGCAGGAATCTCAATCTCACTCTGGTTTTGTTCAGGGATTATAGATGAGTCATAAAATGCTGCCTTCCCACCTTAGCTTTCAAAAGCATCTCTGAACTCCAGGAGACTCATCCATGGTACACTTATACATATGGCTTGAACATGTCTCCAGGTTAATCTGGGGAAACTTAGTCATCAATGTGCTAAGGTCAAGATGATGGGAGTGGAGGTGGTTAGTAGATCATTGGAAGTATTGCTGCCTGTTACAGAACAGGTGTGGGTTCACATGGTCTGTGAAAGAAGACACAGGGCAGTTAAGGGTGATTTTAGCCTTTCAAGCTGCAGGGGACCTCAGCCTCTTGGGACTGAGACACCAAACTAAGGGCATATTTTTTTTATTGTTCTCCAGTTTACACCTTTAGCAAGTTGATTTTCATATCCCCGAAACATCCTAAGTTTCCAAAGGGACAATGCCAAATGCAGATTTTTGATTAAGGAATATCACAGTGCCAAATTTTTCCCAACCAAGTTTTACATAGGCTTTGTACCCTTGGGAAACTCTTGGACGTGATTCACATAAACCAAAGGTGCTGAAGACAAAGGGCAGATTAAGGCTACCCGCCAGCTGCAGGTGTGTGGTTCTCCCTAAAGCTGCCCCCTGAAGGAACTTTGGCATTCTGGGTCTCCAGTAATTTCCTTCTCTCAGACTTTCTGCTTTTTTCCCCTTAAGTTGATCTTGCTCCGTAGCACATGCTAGCCTGGGACTCAGGATATAGCCTAGGTTGGCCTCAAACTTATGGTAAAATCCTTCTGCATCAGCCTTATGAGTGTGGGATTGCAGGGGTACAGGTGTGAGCCACCACACTGCCTTTTAAAATTTTGGCTAGTGCTGGGGACTGAACCCAGGACCTCATACATTCTAGATCAGGTTGTTTATTCCATCATATGACATAGTCCTCTTGCGTACACTCCCACCATGATGTCATCCTGGGTCTATACAAGAGGCTGAAGCCGTCTGAGTCTGAACTTTCAGTTTCCAAGACTGTGAACTAAATATGACCGACCCCCTTCTTATAAATCATCCAGCCTCACATGTTTCATTACAGCAATGGAAAATGGACTGATGCAGCCACTTAGACTGTACTCTGTCTCATCCACATCAGATGATGTCACTGGTCTTCTGCCTTCACATGAAGACAGCCATGTTTCAGAGAATGTAGGACCCAGGGCAGCTTCATACACACCTGTCAAGACAGGCCCTATAGACCAACAGGAAGGTAGGTCTGAGTCTCAGTTTATCCTAAGACAATACCTGGTTCCAAGAAAGACCACAAACCGAGACCACCCATGCTCCAAAGGTCACATTTGTCCACCCCTAGACAAATGTCAGTCAGTCAGGGGCCTTGAACCTTAAAAAATCCTCTGATATTATAAAAACCCCACCCCAACTGTGCTCAGGGCTCTCTGATCATGCCAATAGGTTGGGCACATGGAGAGTCTGAATTCTCAAACTTGTGTAAGAATAAAGGCTCTTTGCTTTTACATATGCGACTTGGTCTCCTTGTTGGTTTTTGGGGTACTCAATGGATCTGGGTATAACAGAGATTACAGTACCCAAGTGTGCACTTAGACCTGTGTGTCCCGGTACAGTATAGCATCCCTCCCAGGCATCTGAGGCATGATGCATTTTCCTGTAAGCCTTAGTCCAGGAATGGTGTGTGACACTGTTCCTGGGGAGATGTGAGCATATCTGTAGTCATCCTAGATCGGCAGCGGGTGACAGACCAAGGTAAGGATACCACTGACCTGTGTGGTGAACCAGTGAGTTTTATTGCTCCTTCAGAGAGCAGCAACACTGCCAGTGGTCTAACCATCTCCTCCGCGGCTCTACCTTTTACTGGTCCCATCACCTTGATCTTAGCACGCTGAAGACCAAGCTTCCCACACCAACCCCTGAGAACATTCTCAAACCTTCTGCAGATCGCAGAAATAATGAAGTCCACCAAATCTCTCAGACACAGACAGGAGGTGACCCAATGGATGAGGCTCCTCCCTTAGAACTCTGGAGGGGATGCTTTTCAAAGCCAAGATTGGGAGTTGTACTGCTTACCTTTCTGGTGCTGTGATGAAGCACCACGACCTGACCAAAACAAATTAGAGAAGAAAGAGTTTATTTGG